AGTCAGTATCAGTGTCAGAATTTACTTGTCCAACTTGTTAATTGAGTAGCCAGTATAGAACTCATTTCTCTTCAATGAATAATAAATTTGAATTTCCTTTCCACATTGTTCATTCTGATGTTTGGGGCCTTGTTACTTTACCATCTGAGAGTGGCTACAAGTATTTTCTTACCCTTATCGATGATTACTCTAGATATACATGGGTATATCCCATGCGAACCAGGGATGAAGTACCTAAAATTATCCAAGATTTTCAGTGGATGATCTTTACCCAATTTCAAACTGAAATCCAAAATTATCAATCGGATAATGCCAAAGAATATTTTCATAGTGATCTTATAGATTTTTTTGCTTTGTGTGGCTCACTTCACCGTAGCTCTTATGCCCGGACACCACAACAAAATGGTGTTGTTGAAAGAAAGAACCGACACCTTCTCGAAGTGGCCCGGGGGTTACTATTTCATATGAATGTCCCGAAACGTTTTTGGCTTGAGGTTGTCCTTTGTGCTACCTATCTCATCAACCACATGCTCTTTCGTTGGTTAGAGTGCAAAGCCCCACATCGGCTTGAGGTTACTATTCCTCCTTGTGTGTTTGGTTGTCGTTGTTTTGTTCAAAATCTGTCACCCTCTTGTGGAAAATTAGATCCTCATGCCATTCCTTGCATCTTCTTGGGGTACTCCTTCACTCAGAAGGGATATTGGTGCTTTGATCCTGTTTCTCGGAAATTTTATTCTCTATGGATGTTTCCTTTTTTGAGAGTGAGCCTTTCTTCCCTGTTTCTCCTCAGGGGGAGTGTAGGAATGAGGTGAAACTAGTTCAGCTCCATCCTCTTCCTGCTCCTCCTTTCGTGTCTTCTTTCGTCGTCACAAAGGCCAACTGTGTTCAAGAGCTGTGGGGCACCTAGAATCTGTACTACCAATGCCATTAGACTCTCCGGGGGCGGATCATACCCATTTAGGTACATTGGTTCCTGTTGATGTTCTTGACTCTATTGTTATTGATACTTCTGCTGCTAATGATCTTGACCTTCCTATTGCTCACTAGAAAGGTGTTAGATCTTGCACCTCTAAACACTAATTTCCACTTTGTTTCCTATGAAAACATTTCACCCTCCTTTCGGGCCTTTATCTCTTTCATTGACAGTGTCCCTATCCCTATGAATGTGACAGAAGCTCTTTCGGTACCTGAATGGACAGATGCTATGAAGGAAGAAATTAATGCGTTACATAAAAATGACACATGAGAACTAGTAGATCTTTCATTGGGGAAGGATCCAGTTGGATGTAAATGAGTTTTCACAGTTAAACACAAGGCTGATGGCACCGTGGAACGGTATAAAGCTTGTTTAGTGGCAAAGGGGTTTACACAAGTGTATGGAGTAGATTATGCAAAAACATTTGCACTTGTTGCTAAGACGAACTCCATTAGAGTCCTTTTCTCCCTTGCTGCTAATCTTGATTGGGATCTTCATCAGTTTGACATCAAGAATGCCTTTCTGAATGGCGACCTTGAAGAGGAAGCATACATGGTACAACCCCTTGGTTTTCGGGCTTAAGGTAATGAACAGAAAGTTTGAAGGTTAAAGAAATCATTATGTGGGCTGAAATAATCACCAAGAGCCTGGTTCAACAGGTTCCATGTAGCAGTACAACAAAGAGGATACAAGCAGTGCCAATCTGATCACACATTGTTTGTGAAAAGAGGGGAAGGGAATATTGTAGCACTGATAGTATATGTTGATGATATAGTTACCACTGGTGATTGGAAGGATGAAATTCAGAAGTTGAAGAATTTCTTGCTACCCAGTTTGAAGTGAAGGATCTAGGTCCTCTAAGGTACTTCCTTGGGATTGAAGTGGCCCGCTCACAAAGGGGTATCTTCATTTCCCAAAGAAAGTATGTCCTAGATCTACTCCAGGATATAGGAAAATTGGGAGTGAAACCATTTGATTCCCCTATTGATCCTAACTACAAACTAGGTGACTGTCAAGGTGAACCCATCAAGGATGTGAAATTGTTCCAGAGACTTGTAGGAAGACTGTTATATCTTTCTATGACTCGACTAGACATAGCTTATGCAATGGGAGTTCTTAGCCAGTTCATGCATGCCCCTAAGTAGCAGAAAGAGTTCTTAGATATCTTAAGAAGTTCCTAGGTGCAGGCTTGTTGTTTCAAAAGCATGGACATTTGAAAGTTGAAGTGTATACTGATGCAGATTGGGCAGGATTCCTGAATGACAAAAAGTCAACTAGTGGCTACTATACCTTTATAGGAGGTAATATAGTTACTTGGAGAAGCAAAAAGCAGAATGTGGTAGCTAGATCTAGTGCTGAAGCTGAATATCGGGCAATGTCTCATGAAGTGGCTAAAAAATTTGTTGAGTGAGTTGGGCTTTCTAGTTGACGGACCTATGACTCTATTCTGTGATAACAAAGCAGCCATAAACATTGCTGCTAGTCAATTGTTGCATGATAGAACTAAACACATCGAAGTCGACAAATACTTTATCAGAGAAAAGGTTGTCACAGGGGAAGTGTGTACTCCTTACGTTAGCTCTGAAGATCAACTTGCAGACATCTTTACAAAAGGGTTACACCACTCACGGCATCATGATTTATGTGACAAGTTGGGCATGATTGACATCTATGTCCCAACTTGAGGGGGAGTGTTAAAAGACTGTTATTTATCTAAGTATAGTACCGCAGGGGTACTATTGTATTTTCCTCTTATTTTTTATATTCTGTCGCCCTAGTATATATATCAAAAAGCTGGCGCCGCCAGCAGCACTTTTGGCTCTCAGTTCTCTCTTCTCTCTTCTTCTCTCTCTCTTTTCTCTTCCTCCCTTCTTCTCTCCTGCATAATAGACACTTAAATAATGACTCCAACTTCTAGACAACTCTAATAATACTTTCCTAATCCCACTAAAACTACAATAATTTATGGACATCAGAAATTACAAAAAATAGTAAACCACTATCTTACTAAAATAGTAAGTACGAGAATTACTACCACAATAATTTAAAGACATCAGAAATTACAAAAAATAGTAAACCACGATCTTACTAAAATTGTAAGTACGAGAATTACTATAAATAGTAAGTCCGAAAGTTACCTTAAATGGTAATCTCAATATAACAGAAACTAAGTAGATTCTACTCTTTAGTTTTTGCCAAATCTTCTCCCAGCAAGAATGAGGCCAAAAGTATTTTCCAGACCATTTCTTCCTTCTCTTTAGATCTGTTAGCTTCTTTTTGAGTTTCCAAAGAGGCTCACACTGATTTAACCAAATGCACGTGTTACATCATATATTCTATGATATACTAATATAATCAAATCTTCACCATTCATCAAAAAAACAAGTGCAGCGAGTAGAGACTTCCCTAACTAGATAGACTAGACCCAAGACTGACAGACCAGCCCAATCCAAATACCATCCATTGGAAAATTATTACACCCAAAAGACTGGAATGGGTGATCCACTGATCCTTGATCCAGTTCTTTCCACCGTACTTCCTCAGGATAAGGCAACAGCACATCTGTTAGCTGCTCTTTGTATCCATCCAAAGTAGACATAGTCTATTAGTTAAATCTAAACAGAATGGAATGGTGAAACGGGATTCATGTAGCCAACCCCATGTAGTTGGGATAAGGATTAGATAACGGTGATGATGAATTAAATGTCTAGCCCTGATAAAATGAAACAAAATTGAAGGGCTCACACTATTATCCTGCTCCAGTGCTCCTTCAAAATTTAAGTTTTTTGCTTGGGTTACAGCCTTGGAAAAGTGCCTCACTAGATGCTTCAGAAGACAGGTTTCAACATTACAGACGTGCTGTGTTCTTTTTGTAATTGGGAGGTACAGACCTCAAATCATCTTTTCTTGCACTGTAACTTCAGTAGAGATGCGTGGAGTCATTTTCTAGAGGCAGTAGATCTGAAATGGTGCTTTTCCAATCTAGTGAAAGCACAGTTAGAAGAATGACAGGTTGCCAGAATGACAAAAAAAGGGAAAGTTTGCTGGTTGGCTATTCCCTTGGCAATCTTTTGGGCTATTTGATACGAAAGAAATTGCAGAATTTTTGAGCAGAAAATTTCATTGGAAGCAGTAGTCATTAATATGGTGGTTGGACTTCTCAGAGACTGATTGTCTATTCCAAATTCTTTTAAGGATGATCTCTTGGGACTTGGGTGTTTCTTTTTTGTGGGTGAATTTCTTTTGAGGTCCTTTTTTTTGGGATATACTTGTACAAAATCTCATTATACAGTGGACCATTTTTTGTTAAGTTAATTCGTTATACTTTACCTTTCTTCAAAACATTATCCTGCATCCACTGAATCACCACTTGGGAGTTCTTGTCAACCTCCAGCCTAGCAAAACCTAGGGAGTGCATCAGATGCAGTTTGACATATTCTTAGATTGAATAAATACTCAAAGCCTATATAACCAATGCATACTAGTAAAGTTTCATCCCTCATAGGCTTTGAATGCACCTCCAACTCCTGAGTTCCTTAGTTCTCAAGGGAGCAAAAGTCCAAGTTGAGTTTCTTTGCTCCTTAGGAAGGCAAATGATGCCACATAAGATCATTCCCTCACAGCTCATCAGTAGTGAAATCCTTGAGCTCCTATATTGTCTAACCTAACCTTGCACAGAGTTCAGATGCACATAATTTGTTTTTTTCAACTATTGACATGCAACATGATTTGGTTCTTGCAGCTTTGGCATGCAGCATTCACATTTTTAAATCTACTCATACAGTTTTCAGGAGCCTTGGAAAAAATATATTTTTTATTTCATGATTCCATGCAAAAAAGCGTTTCATGGGTTAAGTTCTTTGGTAGAATTATGATAAATTTCTCTCATAACAGACTAAAGCTCTAGTATATGGAGGTATATTTAAAAAGTTATCTTTCATTAGTGTATCCATTCATTTCATTTGCTTATCTCTGAACTTTCATATCATTGATGATTGTGTGGTATTTTTCCCTATAAATGCAGTGGTGCTGGTGCTCACTTGTTTCGGTCTTGGGCAACATATTTGAACCGATCCATCATTCTTACACCCGAGGTATATGAATTTTCCAATCTCAGTTCATCCATAAGCTCTATTGAATAGATGCTAGACATTGTACTTTGGCCTTCATTGGTTCCAACCAATAAAATAGTTAGGTTTGACCAGCCCATAAAAGAAAACATAGTTCTTCTACAACTTCGATAAAGAATGTAAGAGAACTAATTTTATTGGCCAATTTATTGAAAAGTGGTCCCCACTGCTAGGACTAGCTCAAGACAAAAATTAACTCGCCTATTAGATCCATTGACTTTCAAAAGAAATAAAAGAGATAACTGAAAAACTAGGAATTGACATGTACCGAGAATATACTAGAAATTATCAAACTGCCACAGAGGACCACATCTGAGGAATCAGATTTCTAACACATGAATGAAACATTATCTAAGATCAAGGCATTCTTCCATATGTTTTGACAAATGGCAATTCTTAATAGTTTTTTTATTTAGTTATCAAAGCAGTAAACCCAAGACCACTTGCTTTGTTTGGAACATACACCTTGCCCAATCATCCAGGTGGCACTTTCTCTATCCAATATTATCCACCATCATCATCTAAGCCTTGTCCCAACTAATATGGGGTTGGCTACTATAAGAGTTTGCGAAAAGCTTTAATGCTGACTGCAATTGCCCACCTGACACACCCTCCTTTATCCATGCTTGGGACCACCAGTGTGAGGCAAACTCATTGATGGAGTTATGGAACTTTCTCTATCCATTCCCAAATAGTTTCCTTCTCTAACTTTCCTAAATTTTTGAAAAAAAAAGAGAGATAATTGGATAGGAAAATTGTAGAATTTTCCAAAATTCAAGTTAGATACCCATTGAAAGATGAGGACTTCCCAACACTACTTTCAATTCTCCTTGTCATTGGATCTCAAATAACTCTAGGATGATACTCTTTTTGGGTAATAAATAAAAAAAGCAAAATTTATTCAGGAATAAAGAAAGGATTACAACAAGGGATAAGCATCATCCTATATATACTGCTTGAGGAAGTTTCCTTCTTCCTTATTTTGAAAAGAAAACAATGGGGCAGTGTTAGGAACCTGCCTAACTCAGGGCTCTTCGAGGGGCCAACCTCCTGAATTCTTGGAAGGAGAGGGGGGAGAGAGAGAGAGAGAGAGAGAGAGAGATAGTTTAATGCTGAAAGAGTGTTTAATTCTGAAAGAGTCCTCCTTTATTCCTTTTTGGCTCTACTACTTATAGTGTTACAATCTTGACTGTTACAGCTGTTACAAGTGGATGGCAGTTGTGACAAGTGGCTGCTGATGTGGCCTCTTCTTGTAACTGACTAACTGTCTTCTGTTGGTCTGTTCCAACAGTCTTGACAGTCC